ACTGCAAATATGCAGAATATGCATGTAAATTGCAAACAAATCTTTCCATGAACAATAAACAATGTCATGATATGCAGAAAAAATGCAACATCGTATTGTTAAGTTAAATATGCAGAATATACAGGTATTTGCAAAAAAAAATGCTCACGATCAGCAAAACAAACATGATCAATAAAAACTGACAGAATATAAGAAAAATGCAATTTCATCTGTTGTATAATGCCGTTTTTTGGAGGTTACCATCCTGTTTAACCTACATGTCATTATCGTGCGGGAATACCGTCGGAAAATCCCCGATGGGCATTCTAACCCTACTTATTTAGTCCTGAAACCCCTAAAACTCCAAAATGTTTGACGAATTTTCGACCGTCCCGTGTCTTCCATGTACTGCAAATATGCAGAATATGCATGTAAATTGCAAACAAATCTTTCCATGAACAATAAACAATGTCCATGATATGCAGAAAAATGCAACATCGCATTGTTAATTTAAATATGCAGAATATACAGGTATTTGCAAAAAAAACATGCTCATGATCAGCAAAAGAAAAACCGTGATCAAAAAAAAATGACAGAATATAAAAAAATGCAATATCGTCTGTGTATATTGCCGTTTTTGGAGGTTACCATCCTGTTTAATCAACATGTCACTATCGTGGGGAATACCGTGGGAAAATCCCCGACGGGCATTCTAACCCTATTAATTTAGTCCTGAAACCCCTAAAACATCCTAAAACTACAAAATTATTGACGCATTTTCGACCGTCCCGTGTCTTCCATGTACTGCAAATATGCAGAATATGCATGTAAATTGCAAACAAATCTTTCCATGAACAATAAACCATGTCATAATATGCAGAAAAAATGCAATATCGTATTGTAAATAAATATGCAGAATATGCAGGTATTCGCCAAAAAAAATGCTCACGATCAGCAAAACAAACATGATCAATAAAAACTGACAGAATATAAGAAAAATGCAATATCGTCTGTGTATATTGCCGTTTTTGGAGGTTACCATCCTGTTTAACCTACATGTCATTATCGTGGGGAATACCGTGGGAAAATCCCCGATGGGCATTCTAACCCTACTTATTGAGTCCTGAAACCCCTAAAACTCCAAAATGTTTGACGAATTTTCGACCGTCCCGTGTCTTCCATGTACTGCAAACATGCAGAATACGCATGTAAATTGCAAACAAATCTTTCCATGAACAATAAGCAATATCATGATATGGAGGAAAAAATGCAACATCGTATTGTTAAGTTTAAATATGCAGAATATACAGGTATTCGCAAAAAACATGCTCATGATCAGCAAAAAAATACATGCTCAAAAACAATGACAGAATATGCAGAAAAATGCGATATCGTCATCCGCCGTTCCAAGAACACTTCGTTTACTCACATCTAATATGTACGTAAATGTACATATTTTTTACTGCGCATATATATATATATCTATATGTATGTATAATGCCGTTTTCTGAGGTTACCATCCTGTAAAATCAACATTTCATTATCGTGGGAAATACCGTGGGAAAATCCCCGACGGGCATTCTAACCCTATTTATTTAGTCCTGAAACCCCGAAAACTACAAAATTATTGACGCATTTTCGACCGTCCCGTGTCTTCCATGTACTGCAAATATGCAGAATATGCATGTAAATTGCAAACAAATCTTTCCATGAACAATAAACAATGTCATGATATGCAGAAAAATGCAACATCGCATTGTTAATTTAAATATGCATAATATACAGGTATTTGCCAAAAAACATGCTCATGATCAGCAAAAGAAAAACCGTGATCAAAAAAAATGACAGAATATAAAAAAATGCAATATCGTCTGTGTATATTGCCGTTTTTGGAGGTTACCATCCTGTTTAACCTACATGTCATTATCGTGGGGAATACCGTGGGAAAATCCCCGATGGGCATTCTAACCCTACTTATTTAGTCCTGAAACCCCTAAAACTCCAAAATGTTTGACGCATTTTCGACCGTCCCGTGTCTTCCATGTACTGCAAATATGCAGAATATGCATGTAAATTGCAAACAAATCTTTCCATGAACAATAAACAATGTCATGATATGCAGAAAAAAACAACATCGTATTGTATATAAATATAAATATGCAGAATATACGGTGATTTGCCAAAAACATGCTCATGATCAAAAAAAACAATAAAACATGACAGAATATGCAGCAAAAAATGCAATAGCGTCATCCACCGATCCAAGAACACGTCGTTTACAGTACTCACATCTAGATTTCATTTATCTATTTAAAAATCTATATAGAATTCAGAAGTTTTGGGGGCATATGCTGCGCAGGCATTCTAACCCTACAAAAAAAAGTTTGGTGGCCCCGGCAAACCAAGCTTTTGGTCGGTTTTGGACTACTGTTTTTTTTTAATTGGTGTTGATGAGTTTTTACAGGTTTTCGGCGGTTTTTCGACGGGTTGTGGCGAAGCTGCTTCATCAAAAATCTGGTAAAACCTGTTTTTTTTTCAGAAACTAGCTCAAAACCAGGTTTTGATACCTCGACCCGCTTTTTTCAGGGATTTGGTTGATGTAGGATATAAATAAATAAATAAACAAATAAATAGATAATCCCTTCCTCCTAATACTAAACCCCCGCCCCTTAATAATAAACACGTCAGGTAGTTTTTAGTATTAGGGTGGTATTTATTATTAGGGAACCCTATTAATAAAATTAAAACCTTAATAATAAAAACTATTTTTTCCGATTCCAAAATCAATCAAATTTCTTTATATAACGCAATTAAAATATTGCCAAAAATTGGATTTCGAAGCTTCCCCCTAATATTCAAGTAAAACCCTGAATAATAAAAACTATTTTTTCCGGTTTCAAAATCAATTAAATTTCCTTATATAACGCAATTAAAATATTGCCAAAAATTGGATTTCGAAGGTTCCCCCTAATATTAAATTAAAACCCTTAATAATAAAAACTAAAAAAAAATCGGACGGACCCTAATAATAAACACCCCGGGGTGAACTAGTTTTTGTATTAGGGGGCAAAATCCACAAATGGTAGCTTTATTTTGAAATTGTTTTCTAAAGGGGACCAATTAAAAATCAAATTGGCCAATCTGAATTTTTCTGAAATTGGAGATGGATGCTTGTTTTAAGTATTTGGGGGACGTTTAGTAATAGGAGGAAGGGATTATATATATATATAATATATACATATATTTCAAATCTATATAAAATTCAGAGGTTTTGGAGGCATATGCTGCGCAGGCATTCTAACCCTACAAAACGATAAAGGTTTGGTGACCCCGGCACAACAGGTAGGCAAGTTTGATCAAACAACTTTTGAACATTTTTATCCACATTTACCAGCATAATACGGACTGAAAGGTAGAATTTTAGTAGAATTTCTACGTCCATTTGGGTACGTCATTCTAACTTTCAAAGGAAAAAATTTGGTGGAAAACACGACATTCTAACTTCCAGTCCGTCGGTATAATGTAGTGTAATGTAATGTGGTGTAATGTAATGTAATGTAACGTAACGAAACGTAATGTAATGTAAAGTAAAGTAATGTGTATGTATGTGTATGTATGTGTATGTATGTGCATGTATGTGTATCTATGTGTATGTATATGTGTATGTACATGTGTATGTATATGTATATGTAGATGTATATGTATATGTATATGTATATGTATGTATGTATGTATGTGTGTGTGTTTGTAATGTAATGTAGCGTAATGTAATGTAATGTAATGTAACGTAATGTAATGTAATATATGCATGCATGTATGCATGTAATGGTATGTATGTAATGGTTTGTATGTGTAGGTAGGTAGGTAGGTAGGTAGGTAGGCAGGTATGTATGCATGTATGTATGTATGTATGTATGTATGTATGTAGTATGCATGCATGGATGAATGGATGGATGGATGGATGGATGCATGTTTTGTATGTTATGTATGTTTTGTATGTTATGCATGTTATGTATGTAATGTATGTATGTATGCATGCATGCATGGATGGATGTATGTATGTATGTGTGTATGTATGTATGTATGTTTGCATGTATACATGTATGCATGTATGCATGTATGCATGTCTGCATGTAATGTATGTAATGTGTGTAATGTAATGTATGTCATGTAATGTAATGTATGCAACGCAATGTAATGCAATGCAACGTAATGTAATGTAATGTTTTGTATGTATGTATGTATGTGTGTATGTATGCATGCATGTATGTATGTATGTATCTATCTATCTATCTATCTATCTCTCTCTATCTATCTATCTATCTATCTATCTATCGACCTATCTATCTATCTATCTATCTATCTGTCTACGTATGTATCATCTATGTATCTATGTATGTATGTATGCATGGATGTATGGATGTATGTATGTATGTATTCTTGTATTCTTGTTTTCAGGTATCTCATGTTTCGCATGTAGATTAGGATTATCATACAGTACATTGTTTTTGGGCGCATGGCATCGAGTGAGACAATGTAATGTGGTACACACCTCTGAGTCCCCCAGGTCGCTCCTGCACCTGTGAAGCTCCCTCCCGCTGCGCGCTTCCGTCGCGCAGTGCGGCCGGGGGACCGTGCTGATCCGTGCCGATCTTCATGGGCTTACCATGGTTATCCTCCGGTAATCTAACATAGGTATGGAAAATGTTGATGAGAAGCATCCAAGAGTTGGGGGTAAGAAAAAATGGTACTCTTCAATTCTTCAATATCATCTGAATCAAGCCGAGATGAAAAGATAAGGCCCAATTCGGTATGGTGTCGTTTCTGGTTCCAAAAAGGTCCAAATGGTCAGCTTCAAGGCTCGTGATGGTCACAAATTTGAATCGAGTATGTACATCACACCAACATGCTGCCATTACTTATTTGTATGTCGCAGCATTCGGCTTGACGGGCCTTTAAGCCTTTTGGCGCACAAACAAGTGCGTTGATTGCGCCCTTGGAAGTATTGCTCCAAGATAGCCATGTTTGCTTGCTGTGTTGGAGATATCAACCAGGAACCCGGTGAGATCGTTGAGACCAAAACTCTTCCTGTCTTGCAGGAAAAGGGGACTCAATCAACCGAAAAAGAAGATGCCTCCGGATCCTTTACCGTGTTGGTGCCCGCAAAACGTCATGCTACCTTGGGGCTGGAGCCTTGCCTTGGGGGATGATTGCTGTGGGACCCACAGAGAAGCTCTCCGAGTCCCTATCGGAGTCCCCCAAAAAATGGGTTTCGTTTAAGGGACCAATACCGATGCATGCCCTGCTCATTTGAAGCCGTTATGATGTTCCAATGCTTTCCAATTGTGAAACCGACAGGCCTAGGCCCTTTGCCGTTGAAGCCAGGAACTTGACACCTCCGGTGCCCATGGACCAACCGTTGCGGAAGTGAAGAAGGGTGCCGTGGATGATTTCAACCAGCTCAACCCGCTTCGCACCATCCTGCCACACGACATGGTGGTGCAAATGGGCGATGCCAAGGGAACCAAGGCCATCCTTGCAAAGATGGCCGCACCTTTACATGACGCTTGACTTTAGAGACTTGAGGTATTGGGCCACCACATCCCCTGGAAAAGAATCAGCAGTTCTCTGGTTTCGGCATGAAACTGTAGGCATACATTTCCTCCCTGGGCTGGGAATCGTCCAGGTCACCAACAAAAGGGACTTTATGCATTTTTCTGTTGAAACAACAACAGTTGGAAGCACAGCTGAACTTTCCATATCCCTTTTGCATGCGATTCGACGTTGCAATCAAGAAATGCACATCATGCTCACCAGACACAACTGTCGCCAACATTCGACCACTTTATAGGCTTGTTTCAGCTGTTGTCAACTGTCCAGCCATATGTGTGAAAATGGTACCTCTAAATCCATTAAGTTATTGCAGGTCAACCCCCCACTTCAGACACACCCTAACATCATATTGTTTCATACATACCCCGATTAAGTATGATAAGGTGATATATCCCCATGAATTTGGATTCCCCCAAATCTTTGGGATGCTTTGGTACCACAAGCCTTGTCCAATGGCAGCCATTGGACATGAGGATGTGAAGTTGACGTTGCATCGTCCCAGAAGGATGCAAGTGAAACTGCGCAAGGAGGTGCCAAAGTAAGGACCTTTGCTGGTAGATGATGGTAGATGAAATAAGGGGTGTTGCAAAAATGGGCTATAGCCCAAAAACGAAATCTTACGAGGAAATGATGATACATCGTTGGGTGCCATGGGGTGCCCCATTTTTGGACCAAATAAAGCTTATAGATGGTCATACTGCCATATATATATATATATTACCTAGTTACGCAATATTTTGTAGGGATTTCCGTAAGCCTTGGTTTGTAGGGGTTGCCGTAAGCCGTGAACAATAGGCAAGTTTTGATTGGATGATGCCAATAAGAATTGAATTTCTCGATGAGTTCATGTTGTTTTCTTAATTAGCATTGTCACTAGTTTGGGGGTCTCCATATTCTATTTGAATTTGCGGATTTGTTGGTCCTGCGTTAGGTTCATCCCATTGCATTCCGTCATGGCCAGCTGCTCACTATAAGCCAGATGGGTTTGTCTGAATATGTCAGATTTGGCCCTAAATAGATCCAAATGGCCATTGAAGAATATGGATAATGACGATCAACCATTGAATTTGGGAGTACCCTATTTTCTGACAAAGTGATGTTTTTGAGCAATCCATGTAAGTTTGACCAAGTTTGGAAACCCTTGCCACCACAGAGGGCGTTATCGAGCAAGAAGCAGGGTTGCTGCTCGGTCCCTCTTTTTTTGAATCCCAAGCAACACCAAGATGTCCACTTTAATGGGAAGATGACGATGAACCATGCGATTGTGGGGTTCAGTTTTTTCAGACGCAACCTGTTGAGTCTACCTTGGTGGTCTGCAGTTTCCGGTGTCCGCATTCTATGGTTGATTTAAAGCGCTTCAATCACAAGTTATAGAATTTGAAGAGGGGTCCAGCCACAGATTATGTCGTTCTCACACTCACTGTGTGGGGTTCCTATCAGGGTTCCCTTGAACACGGAGTCAGAGAAACTGCAGCGGAGAGGCCAAATCCAGCCTGGGCATCAAGTTGATTATCAAGGAGATGTGCCCAGGTGCTGTGATTACGGAAGTCAAACCCACTGGGCACCTCGGATTGCAAGGGAAAACCTCCCAATGCCACCCAGATGAGCGGTGAAAGAACTAGCTAACCCTTGTAGCCTCCAACTCCACACAGATCATATAAGCGCAGTGTGGCTTTCATTGTTCTATTATGTTCTATTCACTCATCTTTTCTGGGGAAGACCCCTGTAGTTGGAAGAAAAACTATGAGATGGGTGTGCCTGAAAGCAAATCGGCATACCATTTCATTACTTCACCAAGCGACTTCGACCGTGTTCTTAACCACGGACGGTTGGTCAGGATTTTGGATCCCCCACGCCTTTTGAAAACAACAATGGTTACATGGTTCATCTGTGTTCTAAGCCCATTGCCATCACCACCATCACCATCCTCATCACCATCATCATCATCATCATCACCGCCATCATCATCATCATCACCGCCACCACATCTGATTTTCCCGAATGTTCCATCAAAATCTGAGACATCGAGGTTAGTGGGCAAATGGAATGCCAAGAACCCCTCAGATGCCATCGGGGTCTCCGATCGGCTCCTGGCCGTGAATGGCCTGACCGAACTCAAAGAGACGTTGGCTGAGGACCTGTGGCTCGGTGAAGCGGCCCAGCGCGCTGGGCCTGAGGGAACGTTGAGCTATATACTATATACTATATTACTGTTTTTTATTCCGTACAATGTAGAAGTTTTTCGTAATTTATCATGTATAACATACAATGTATGTAATAAAATGGTTTATATCTCATATGAAACATATATGTGTATATATAATTTGGATTTATGATATTTAATGTGTAATCTATCATATTTAATATGTAATATACCATATATCATATCTCATGTTTAATATTTAATATTTCGCAAACAATATATAATGTATCGATTTTATAGTGACATGTTGACCTATTGCCAATGGGAATTCTTGCCGCCTGGTTTTGGAATATGTTGAGTTGATTTGGTGGAGACCGAGGGGTTGGGTGATTTTGATTGATGAGCTTGTGTGTGTGTGTGTCCGTGCATGTTTCTGCCGCGTTCTTTGGAACTTGGATTTGCCCGGAGCTGCGTGAGAATGGTTGGGTTTTACCAGGCATGGGTCACGCATCCTCTAAGTTTGGAACATCTTTGATGTCGATGGAGTCAACCCTTCTCCACACAAAACAAAGCTATGTAATGGTTTAGATTAGGGGAAATTTGTTCAAGAATATGTTTGAGCTCAAACTTGAAGCAAGGGCAGCGACTCATTCCCCACACACTCTCGTTCTTGATAACCGAGTTCGGCGAGACACCCGCACTGCGTCCTGTGATTAGCCTTACAGTACAAGTTCTGATTGTCAATGCGCGCACTTTCATGAGAAAACCTGGGAACATTAAACACACGGGCCATGTGTGATTTCCTATTTCGGATGGCGATGTTCCAGTGCTACTGCTACGTTAGATTGAGAGTGGTCAATTTTCAATCATTCTCTCATGTCCAGCCCAGCAGCACCATAAGACAGATACATCCAGTGGAAGACAGACAGTGAGAGTCTCACTGGCACTCACAATGTGAATTGGCAGCTCCATGACCACCCCGTGCAACACAAAGTTGAAGAGATGTAGCTGCCAAGCGTCTGGTAGGAGAGGAGGGCCAAGCGTCTGGTAGGAGAGGAGGGCCACAACAGAATGAGTGCGGCATACTGTGAAGCTGTAAACCAAGAAGCAATGACAAGAAACATGTACAGAATATGCGTGCTGGTCAGTGGTCAGATTGGGTCAGTTCTACTCATTGAATCAGGGCGTTCTGACAATATCGCTTTGATATACTATGATCATGACCGGAAGAGTAGCTTGCAAAAGCCAAGGACAAACGAGACGGAGCTGGAGTTAACGTTCCTAAAGTACTGA